CTGGAAGACAGCGAGCGACACAAGCTCCCCACTTGTTCGCTATTGCTGAGGAAGCCTTCATGTAAGCCCGCATCTTCACATGCGTTCTCCACTCCATACTGACCTGTCGTTCAGGGACATGGTTCGTGACAAGAAGAACCAGACAGTAGTTGTCTCCGGAGAGTCTGGTGCTGGCAAGACTGTCAGTGCCAAGTACATCATGCGATACTTCGCTACCAGAGAGTCGCCCGACAACCCCGGTGGACGCTCCAAGCGAGGAGCCGAGTCCATGAGCGAGACGGAAGAGCAGATCCTTGCGACTAACCCTATCATGGAAGCGTTCGGTAACGCCAAGACGACTCGAAACGATAACTCGTCACGATTCGGAAAGTACATTGAGATTATGTTTGACGAGCACACAAATATTATCGGTGCCAAGATCAGGACATATCTTCTCGAGCGTTCTCGATTGGTTTTCCAGCCCCTCAAGGAACGAAACTACCACATTTTCTACCAGCTTGTCGCTGGTGCATCGGAGCAACAGCGCGAGGAGCTCAACCTCCTACCTATTGAGGAGTTCGAGTACCTGAACCAAGGAAACTGCCCAACAATTGATGGTGTGGACGACAAGGCCGAGTTCGAGGCTACCAAGAAGTCGCTATCAACAATTGGTGTCACAGATGCCCAGCAAGCTGACATTTTCAAGCTGTTGGCTGGTCTTCTGCATCTCGGAAACGTGAAGATTACCGCATCGCGCAACGACAGTGTTTTGGCTCCCAACGAACCTTCTTTGGAGCGTGCTTGTGCCATCCTCGGTGTCAAGGCCGAGGAGTTCTCCCGATGGATCGTCAAGAAGCAGCTCGTTACTCGTGGCGAGAAGATCACATCCAACCTCAGCCAAGCGCAGGCCATTGTTGTTCGAGATTCCGTTGCCAAGTTCATCTACTCAAGCTTGTTCGACTGGCTTGTCGATATCATCAACCATAGCTTGGCTGCTGAGGAAGTGTTGAACAGAGTTGTCTCATTTATTGGTGTTTTGGATATTTATGGTTTCGAGCATTTCGCCAAGAACTCTTTCGAACAGTTCTGTATTAACTATGCCAACGAAAAGCTTCAGCAGGAATTCAACCAGCATGTCTTCAAGCTGGAGCAGGAGGAATACCTCAGGGAAGAGATCGACTGGACTTTCATTGACTTCTCCGACAACCAGCCTTGTATCGACCTGATTGAGGGTCGCATGGGTATTCTGTCTCTGCTTGACGAAGAGTCTCGTCTTCCTATGGGTTCTGATGAGCAGTTTGTTACTAAGCTTCACCACAACTTTACTCCCGACAAGCACAAGTTCTACAAGAAGCCCAGGTTCGGCAAGTCTGCTTTCACCGTCTGCCATTATGCCATCGATGTGACCTACGAATCTGAGGGCTTCATTGAGAAGAACCGAGATACAGTCCCTGACGAGCACATGGCTGTTCTGCGTGCCACAAGCAACGAGTTCTTGAAGACTGTTCTCGATGCTGCCTCAGCTGTACGTGAAAAGGATGCCGCCTCATCATCCTCCAGCTCCGTTAAGCCCGCCGCTGGTAGGAAGATCGGCGTGGCTGTCAACAGGAAGCCCACTCTGGGAGGTATTTTCCGGTCTTCGCTTATCGAGCTTATGAGCACCATCAACAATACTGATGTCCACTACATCCGATGTATCAAGCCTAATGAGGCCAAGGAGGCATGGAAGTTTGAGGGACCCATGGTTCTTAGCCAGCTTCGTGCTTGTGGTGTCCTCGAGACGGTTCGCATTAGTTGTGCTGGTTACCCTACTCGTTGGACATATGAAGAGTTTGCCCTTCGTTACTACATGCTTGTGAAGTCTGATCAGTGGACTTCGGAGATCCGCGAGATGGCCGATGCTATCCTTAAGAAGGCTCTCGGAACAAGTAGCAGCAAGGGCATGGACAAGTATCAGCTTGGTCTCACCAAGATTTTCTTCCGAGCTGGCATGCTTGCTTTCCTGGAGAACCTCCGCACAACTCGACTCAACGACTGTGCTATCATGATCCAGAAGAACTTGAGAGCCAAATACTACCGACGACGCTATCTTGAGGCCCGTGAGGCCATCGTTATGACGCAGGCTGCTATCAGGTCATGGAAGGCCAGGAAACAGGTCCAGGAGCTTCGCACTATCAGGGCTGCTACTACCATTCAGCGAGTCTGGAAGGGATCTAAGCAACGCAAGGCCTATCTCCAAATCAGGAAAGACATGGTTCTCTTCGAGTCTGCCGCCAAGGGATATCTTCGACGAAAGAACATTATGGAGGAACGTCTCGGCAATGCTGCTCTCAAGATCCAGCGTTCTTGGAGATCACGAAGACAATTGCGAGCCTGGAGACAATACCGCAACAAGGTTGTCCTCATCCAGAGCTTGTGGCGCGGAAGAAGTGCTCGAAAGGACTATAAGAAGATTCGTGAGGAGGCTCGTGACTTGAAGCAGATTTCTTACAAGCTTGAAAACAAGGTCGTTGAGTTGACACAGTCTTTGGGCTCAATGAAGGAGAAGAACAAGGGTCTGGCTTCGCAAGTGGAGAATTACGAAGGACAGATCAAGTCGTGGAAGAAACGACACAACGACCTCGAGGCCCGAACTAAGGAGCTTCAGACAGAAGCCAACCAAGCAGGTATTGCGGTCGCCCGCCTACAAGCTATGGAAGACGAGATGAAGAAGCTTCAGATTGCCTTCGACGAGTCAACGGCCAACATCAAGAGGATGCAAGAGGAGGAGAGAGAACTCAGGGAATCTCTGCGAGCCACAAATTCAGAGTTGGAGACAGCAAGAAGGTCAAGCACACAACACGAGAAGGACAACATGAGTCTCAGACAGGAGCTGGAGTCTCTGCGGGATGCCCTCGAGCTGGCTCGAAGGAATGCCCCCATCAACGGAGAGCTTGCCAACGGTACCACCCCTGCAGCCTCAGCGCCTTCAGGTCTCATCAACCTCGTTTCGTCCAAGAAGCCTAAGCGTCGGAGTGCCGGTGCGGAACCACGGGAGCTTGATCGCTTTAGCGGTACTTATAACCCTCGGCCGGTTTCCATGGCTGTTACTGGCACGGCGCATCGTCAGAACCTTTCTGGCTCGACCTTCCTTCCTGGCGTTGATAATATCGAGATGGAACTTGAGACGCTTCTCGCGGACGAGGATGGCCTCAATGAGGAGGTAACAATGGGATTGATCCGAAACCTCAAGATCCCCTCCCCCAGCAGTACTCCTCCTCCTTCGGACAAGGAGGTGCTCTTCCCTTCATATCTCATCAACTTGGTTACATCAGAGATGTGGAACAACGGCTTTGTGAAGGAGTCGGAACGTTTCTTGGCCAACGTGATGCAGTCCATCCAACAGGAGGTTATGCAGCACGACGGCGACGAGGCCATCAACCCCGGCGCCTTCTGGCTGTCCAACGTCCACGAGATGTTGTCGTTTGTATTCCTCGCCGAGGACTGGTATGAGGCTCAGAAGTCGGACAATTATGAGTACGATCGTCTTCTGGAGATCGTCAAGCACGATCTTGAGAGCTTGGAGTTTAACATCTACCACACTTGGATGAAGGTGTTGAAGAAGAAGTTGCATAAGATGATTATTCCCGCCATCATCGAGTCCCAGTCTCTCCCTGGTTTCGTTACCAACGAAAGCAGCCGATTCTTGGGCAAGCTCCTGCAATCGAACTCAACCCCCGCTTATAGCATGGACAACCTGCTCAGCTTGTTGAACAGTGTCTTCCGTGCCATGAAGGCTTACTACCTGGAGGACTCCATTATTACGCAGACCATTACTGAGCTTCTGCGATTGGTGGGCGTGACAGCGTTCAACGATCTGCTCATGCGACGAAACTTCCTCTCATGGAAGCGTGGTCTCCAGATCAACTACAACATCACCCGTATCGAGGAGTGGTGCAAGAGCCACGATATGCCCGAGGGTACTCTCCAGCTGGAGCATTTGATGGTCAGTTCAATCTATTCACTATTTCAGGGACAAAGCTAACAACCGCACAGCAAGCAACCAAGCTTCTTCAACTCAAGAAGGCCACCCTGAATGACATAGAAATCATTCAGGACATCTGCTGGATGTAAGTAGTGATGCCCATATGGCCTAACTCGCATACTAATGACTATAGGCTATCACCAAACCAGATCCAGAAGCTGCTCAACCAATACTTGGTTGCCGATTACGAGCAGCCTATCAATGGCGAGATCATGAAGGCTGTTGCCTCGCGCGTGACGGAGAAGAGCGATGTTCTTCTCCTTCAAGCCGTCGATATGGACGACAGTGGTCCCTATGAGATTGCTGAGCCTCGAGTCATCACAGCACTTGAGACTTATACTCCTTCTTGTAAGTAACACGAGCAACTTACTACAAGCATCCTAAAGCTAACCTTCTTAGGGCTTCAAACTCCTCGCCTCAAGAGGTTGGCCGAGATTGTGTCGGCACAAGCCATTGCACAGCAAGAGAAGTTCGACTATACTGATGGCGAAGATTACGAAGACGGGCAGCCACAACATCATGAGCTTGCCGGCGTTGATGAGGTGGAAGTAGAGCAGTAGGGAATAATGAAGCTGGTTTAGGCATTTCGAACGCACATAAGGGATAGAAGCCGCATTTTCAGGGTGTTTGATGTCGAATTTTCTAATGGCGGCGTGTAACTGAAAAACAGATCTGAGGGTATTCTCCTTGTATCTGGACGGCATCATGTATACCGAGCGGGAACATATTTCACCTCTCCGCAAGTCGGTGGGGATATTTGTACTCGACTCTATTTTGTAAGATGAGATACGGCTGTATTGGAGAGTCCGAGAGATGAGAGTACGAAGCGACATCGTGGTTATTTGTTCACTATTCTTGTGCCGTTGGTGATAATCTGTGATTGTAGATGGTGTTGAAGTGGTGATGCAACTATCGAATCTCTTCACCTCTTTAGTTGCATGACAGTTCTATGCATAGCAGCCTTTTGAAGGTTACCCAAATTGAAGAGTCCATCAATCTCTGCAACCAGATACAGACGAACAAGCAGCCAAAATGACCACACGAAAACTACCCAATATTATCATTACGGGCACGCCTGGTGTCGGAAAGACGACTCATTGTGAAGCTCTCGCCGAGCGAACTGGACTGCGACATCTCTCAGTGAACCAAGTTGTGAAGGACAAGGAGTGCCATGAGGGCTGGAGCGATGAGTTTCACAGCTTTATTGTGGATGAGGACAAGGTAAGAGAATATGATATCATTCAGAACTGAGATTCGAGATGAAAACAAGTTCTGGGGAGAGTAATAAGAATTTGTGCTGATTTTTTATAGTTGCTAGACGCTATTGAGGACGATGTCAAAACTGGTGGATGCATTATTGACTGGCACGCCTGTGATCTCTTTCCAAAAAGCTGGATAGATCTGGTTGTCGTGCTTCGGGTTGATTCATCAACACACTACGATCGCCTTATAACAAGGTACGTTGCTCATTACAAAGCTCTTACCTGACATTCAATTCTGGCTTTGAGCAGAGAACCATGCATTTACTGACTCTTGATAGAAACTATCCTGAGTCTAAGCTGCAAGAGAACATCGACTCTGAAATCATGGAGGTTCTCCTCCAAGAAGCCCATGAGGCTTTCGAGGAGGAGATTGTCATTGAATTGACAAGCAACACGTCTGATGAGATGGACACAAACGTCGATCGTATAGTAGCTTGGCTTGATCAGTGGAAGAAGGACAACAGCGAGGAATAGCCGTATCTTCAAACACAACTATAAAGGAATGGAAATTTGCTACAGGGGTTACTACAAAAGTCTTTAGCTGGGATATTTTGAAGCGTGGACTCGGTTGGTGAAAATAGATTTTTAGATGCAAGCCTAGGGCAGGCTATGAATTGACATGAATCGTTCTACTGGTGGTTTCGTACCAATTAAGTGCATATTTCCCATGTACAATCACACTCATAGTGGGGAGCCTATGGTTCAGCTCGATTATCTTCAGCTGCTACTCTTTTTCAGAGTCATACTCCAGTCGGCGACATTTCTACTGCTCTGTTTTCAAAAGCTATAGAATTTAAAGGGGCTTTGCGACGTCAAAATGGCTGCACACAAGGTCAACTTCATCACCGGCAACGCCAACAAGTTGCGCGAGGTCAAGGCCATTCTTGAGCCTGAAATCGAGGTTCTGAGCAAATCTGTGGATCTCGAGGAGGTTCAGGGCACACTTGAGGAGGTTACAGAGTCAAAGTGCCGTAGAGCTGCTGATCTGGTATGTAACTATCTATCTATCCTACAAACGCTGTAAATAAAAGAATGTGTTTAACAATAATGTACAGGTGAAAGGCCCCGTCCTGGTTGAAGATACAGCTCTGTGCTATAACGCTCTGAGCGGTCTTCCTGGAGCATACATGTGAGATATGATGAGAAGACGCTTGAGAAGATGAATGCTGATGGCTGTAAAGCAAGTGGTTTATGACTTCGATTGGTCATCAGGGCTTGAACAACCTGTTGGCTGCTTACACTGATAAGTCCGCTGAGGCTGTTTGCACTTTTGGTTACTGTGCTGGTCCTGGCGAGAAGGTCATTCTCTTCCAAGGCCGTTGCCCTGTAAGTAATCCTCGAGTCCTTTAACCTGGCTGTGCTGACATGCGATGCAGGGCAAGATTGTGCCTCCCCGTGGGCCTCCCGACTTCGGTATGTATTGAGAAAGGGATACACATAGTACATGCTAACATGTGAATAGGATGGGATGCCGTCTTCGAGTATGAGGGCCAGACGTAAGTTAAATTCTGAGATTAAACGATGATCTCTGCTAACTCTCATAGATTTGCTGAGATGGACAAGACGGAGAAGAACAAGATCTCCCACCGTGGTCGAGCTCTGGCTAAGCTTCAGGCTTGGTTCAAGGACCAGCAGTAAATTCCAGCGAATTACGATACAGCTGCGTACTTGGTGAGGCTAGAGTCTCATAAGTATTATGATTAGATGCGGCCAAGGACAGGATGACTTACTAGAGCACTTCATACTGGTTGTACTTGCGAAAGTAGTGGGAGCCACGACGATATGGTTGCAAGAAACCGTCAATTGAAGAGGGCTTCTGACGAAATGTTCTGCCGACAAGGTTTCGAATTTTGGTAGAATCACGGAAACTGGGATCGAATACCAGCAGATTCGCCTGGCCGTCCATTTGCTTCTCGAAACCGACAATTGTCAACGAGTGTCCTGTGTTAACGTTCAGTGTCTAGGTCTAAAGCATGCAGCTTTGAACCACTTACCTGGATGTTGTAGGTAGATCGGTGGCAGTTCCGTATGATGAATTCGGTCTTCGACGCTTGTGATACCTCCCTGAAAGTATCCTTCGATAGCTTCAAAGAGACGTTGTTTCGACTTGCCGCGTTCCTGATCCTTAAATGCTTGAACGGAGCAACTATTACCGTTAGCTCTCTGCTTAATTTGCTGTGATGGTAAACCTACGGTATCTCCAAGCTGAGAAACACAGCCTGTGCCTGTTTCTTGTTAGTCAACTGACTTCATCTGAGCTGAGAAGACGATCAAATACCTCTGGTGTACCAATGTATTTTCTCGTCCCCTTAACGCCTCCTGTCTCCGCCCTTCCTTGCGCATTGATACCCATATCCCAAGCATTCTCGATGAGATCTTGGATCTGAAAGATAGAAGGAAACGTGCGTCCAAAGTGATTTGAGCCTTCTCTTTGGGCTGAGATGATGTTTGAAGTGAGCATCTGGATGTTTCGATAACCACAGAAACCGCCTGTTGTTGTCAGACACCTCGGATTACACAGCATTTGTAGACTCACCTTCTCGTCTCAATTTAGAAACATGTTGTACCGCAGGGTGACACAGGTAGGCATACTGTGTTGATGGACTTTGCTCCAGCAGCTGACTTAGAACAGGCAAAACGCCTAAAGTCATTAGCTGCTGCTTGAGAAACGTTACTAGATAGGACTCACCATCATTGACAACCTGGCCTTCATCTTTCAGAAGGTCTACAAGCCAAGGAGGCATCTTTCTCTCATGCGCAAACCTGCCAAGATCGGACTTCTACTCTCGTGTTAGTCACTACATAATAAGTACCAAGAATCATATAATATCTCACCCCCAGACGAACGTTGGATTTAGCCCGTTCTCCATTCTTATCGCGACTTGAAGAGCCTCTGCTCGAAGTCTTGGTAATGCCAGCATCCTCTCTCTTGGTCTTGTGTCGTGTCCTACTACTGCTACTCTCCCGACCATGAGAGCTACGCCCAGAAAAGAGGTCCTTCCACGCCTGGATAGTGCTGACTTTCTTGTGCATCCGCGAGCTCTCTCTAGTTGACGGCTCCGGCTTCCGAGCCACGGTGGGAGTCTGTTCCGGCTCAGGCTCAGGCTCAGGCTCAGGCTCAGGCGTGGCATCCTGCGCCTCGAGCTCGTGAAGCTCAAGATGATAAGCTAGCTCATCCAGCTGAAGGATCTCACCGCAACCTTCTGGGCATGGAACAGGATCTTGGGAGGTGGTGAGTGGTGTCCCGTCAGCGTCTGGGTGCTGTTGCTCTATGTGCTAGTCAAGGGGATGAAAGTCTTAGTCTCAGCTGAACTCAAGCGGTAAGAAAGATCGGTGTGGACACACTAGAATGAGTTCATATTCGCCTTGGCCTGGCTTGAAGCCGCAGAAGGGGCAAGGATCCGAGTTGGACATGGTGGTGATTATCTCATGAATTAAGACGAGGATGAGAAAGTGAGTTTAGGAGCGATGTGAAATTGTTTAAAATGCAGAATAGAGAAAAAGTTCTATATGTCTATGAGTTGCCAAGTGCAGCAATTGTTCTGGCGTTGTCTCTTGGCTGTGGCAAAGAGTGAATCAAAGTAAAGAACAAAGAAAGAGTTGGGCGCGGTGTGATTCAGTCTGAGTGAGGCTGTGATGGTGGTACACGTACCACGTACCTCTCTCCAGGGTCTCACAGCGTAAGGTATTCAAAGTTAACTCACGGGAAAGGCACAGCCCAGCCCAAGAAATGCTACCGTTTAACCAAAGCTTGAACAACACCAATCCACTACAATTGTCATTATTTACTTGTTTAACAATGCAAACACATCAATACATCAATGCCAAGTCACAACCACATGGCGCAACGTCAGTACCACAACAAAGACCGCGGATCTCAAGATAGCGTCCGGATGATGCCCTATTGCATTGTATAGCGGGACCACCCGTATAGAGTCAAGTTCCCGTCCAAACTGGATCGTGCATTCACATGATGGACAGTGCAAGAGACAGACCGCTCATGGAGGGAGGGATTAAAGAACTAGCTAAACTAACAAGGCATCACGAATTGTTGGGAACCAATTATCAACGACACCGAGAATCTGGTGCCTTGGATTTGTTCTAGAAACTGGCTCTAAACAAGGTACGTATCGGTAGTTGCAGCTCTCTACACCCTTGCAAGTGTCATTCAAGCGGTCATGAATCAGGACATTCACCAAGTCAGTTAGAGTCAGATAATACAACGGAAATTTTCTAATAGTAAGCAAGCAAACCCAACCCTCCATTGATTTGAACCATGTACTCTAGTTGTTAAGGCAGGCAAAACGAGAAAGAAAAAACAGACCAACTTGATGCCCTTTCTGATAGACAGCAACGGAGAATTTAACCAAAAGAGGGCACCCTATTCAAGGCCAATCACCTTGTGACCGGCCTGGTCTGGTCGCCCCGCGGCCTGAGACTGAATCGTCATCATCGTGATCGTGACTGTCTGGCAAAATAATATGCCTCTTTGTAAAAGTGTTTCGCAATTGTCTTTACATCAGAATACAATTGCTCTTGCTCGGAGGCTCGCCGGGGTTCTGCGACTTCTCGATCTGCCCGATCAAGAGCTCGAAAGCCTTGCCCACGTTCTCGTTGTATCGCGCGCTCGCCTCGGTCCAGCCGCATTGTATCTTCTCGGAGAGCTTCTGTCCATCTTCGGGTGTGACCTGTCGTTGCTCGGGTCGCAAGTCGCTCTTGTTGCCGACGATGCAGATGGGGACCGACTCAGTGCCCTGGTGTTTCTGGTCAGCTTACGAGTTGCTCGTTCTGGCATTCGAGCACACTTACCAGGTGGTTGAGAATCTTCTCGCGAATGACTTGCACCATCTCGAAGGATGGCAGTGATGATACTGAGTAGACAAGCATGTAGCCATGAATGCCGATAAAGTGCTTCGAGTTGAGAATACTGTACTCATCCTGACCCGCTGTGTCGACGATTTCGGTTGAGTAATCTTGGCCCTTGTACTTAATCATCTTGCTGAAGGTATTCTCAATCGTAGGATAGTAACTGTCGACAAAGTGGCCATCGACGAACCGCACCGCGAGAGACGACTTGCCTGTGATCCATCGTCAGCAAACGTAATTGAGCATTCGAATTAAATCGCCATCTGTTGAATAGCTGATCAAAAGATCGAGATACTGACCGACTGAGCGGCTGCCGACAATAGCGACCTTTCTTTGCTTGGGAGAAGGCATGGTGCAACAATGTTGAGTGGCAATGAATCAAAAGTGAAACAGAGTCCGAACTGCGTATTCTCGTTGTTAAACCTCAAGTTGATTATTCGCGCCCGAAAGGGGTAGAAATTGGGCGCACAGAAACTGAGACCAACAGCGGGCAAATAGATGATGTGAAGAAAAGAGAGAGGAAAAGAGTCCTGTTGATGACGATGGTGAATGTATGATGTGTAACTTTAGTGGTAGCTCAGCTGGACGCACTTGGTATAAAGGGCCTGGAACTTTAGGTGCACGCACTCACGTCAGTCAAATGCTACAGGTCTTGAATGCAGTAAAAAAAAGCCCATCTTTGCCAAACCAAGGTCATTCCTGATGGACAGGAATTGTACTCTACTGCAGCCCCCCACCGGATCTTCTCTGCTCAGTGCTCTCCTCCAACGAGAACGGGAGCCCCTCCCCCTCCCTTTGCATCATACAGATAAAAAAGATACGTAACTCTGCTGCCTTTCCCCTGTAAGTGACGCGCGAACTTGCAGGGTTAGTCTTCTTCACTTGATGCATAACCTAACAAGTATGCACTAAATCAGACCGGGAATAATTTCAGAAGAGCCTCAGATCATGTGTCACAGAATTACGAGTCTCAGTATCAGCAAATATGGTCATTCTAGTGACCTGGTATCGATTCTCCTTCTCATCTATACACTCTCTCGCTAGCAAATATGCCAGAAGTGGCTGTAATCCATCATACAAAGTAAAAGGGAGAGTCATACTCAGAACATTGTCCCAAAAAGGCTCCCTAGCTCAAGTCATGTCCGTCCGTATATAATCAACTATTGTCGTCGCAGTCGTTGTAATTCGTTGACGAGCCCTTCCAGCTCCGTCACCTTGTTGTCCACCGATCTATACATGCCGATGAACTCCTTGATCGAGCCAATGAGACTCGGAAGCCCTTCGCTTCCCGCTTGCTCCTTGAGTCGTTGCCGGGCTGCATCTTCCAGCGACAAGTAGCCCAGCAAGACGGAAAGGTAGCCAAATGCCACGCTCAGCTTCGATTTCTCTACAGAGTCGGCCTAGAGCATGATTATCAGTTTCAGATCTGTCAACATTAACGAGCAACCTTACCTCTAGCATCAGGGCCTGGTTCTGTAAATATACTGTCACCAGGCCATCCAGTTGCGCCCCAGTGATGTTCTCACGTGCGGGAGCGCAGTGTTCTAGTATATTGATCGTCATACCAAGCACTAGAAGGAGTCCATCATAAGTCTCCTCCTTCAGACGTCGGTTGCTCATAGCGTCCAGGGCCGATTTGAAACCAGAGAGAATGCATTTCGACAGACTCGACAACAGGATCACATCACTGAAGGCAGCAGCGCCGTGTGTCGTGTTGGACATGTTGATCGAGAGCTTGAGGATAGCTACTTCGATATTCCCAAGCTTGTCTGGCCATTGCTGGACGCTGTTCTCGAGAATACGCGCCACTTGGTGCGATTGCTGCGCAATCCATGTGACTTCATTCGCGTCGTTCATCGACATTCCTGACTGCGACTCCAGTATTGATATGACAAGAGCAGTCGCTGCGTCAGTTCTTGGGTTGGTACTCGTACAATGGGATATAACGGCCTCAAGATCGCTCTCCACGTCCCTGACAACTACTGATGAGTGCATCGCATCGATTCGCTGACACACGACGTTCAGTAGTTGAAGTGCAAGAGTTTGAGGTGAAAGCTTCTCAGGACGACGGCCATGCCAAATATTCATCTTCTTGAGCGTAGTCTTGACCTCGCTCAGAGAGGCTCTCGTCGTCTTGGCGAGCCTCAGTCTCCCTGATGCAAGTTCATCAATGTCTTCGGGCACCTGTAAAAGGACAGAGAGCATTTGGCCCAGTCCATCATCAACAAGCTGTTGCAGGAGGTGGGCTGCAGGACTGAAATGGAGAAACGTGACGAGAACGGCTGACAAGGCGAATCCGCAAATGATATCCTGTTCTTGACCGATGTTTGCCGCGACTTTATCGCGAGTTGCGTGATCCCGAAATTGACCGATGAATTCCTTGTTCTGTAGCTTCTGGGACAGCTCTAGTAATGCGCCTCTCCTCAATGAAGATGGAGAGCTTCCAGGGGTTCCTATCCGAGCAAGCAGGTCCTCCATTTCATCGGCGAAGCGATTGTTGGCTCCAGCTCTCCGTAGCTCATGCACGCTCTTGATAGCAGGTCGAGTACCTCCGTCTCCGTCGAGATCATCGTCATCGTCCATGGCAAATGGGTCAGCGTTGGCGGGTTCTGGGGGGTAGCGAGAAGCGCATCCAGCTCTTCTTCCACCGTCATGGGTTTTTCCTGGCTGGGCTCGTTGAGCTTCGAGGAAGACTCGGTCAGGATGGATCGAGATTGGCCGTATGTATACTTAACTCTCCGGCTTTTGAGCGCAACCGTGGGGCGACTTCTGGATCGTATCGTAGAGTCTTGAGAATGATTCTGGGAGTTGTTTTGTGATTGCTGAGAAGGAGTCGCACCTCCACTGTCTGTACCGCTGTTCGGAGGTAATTGTTGTTCGGGCTTCTCTTCTTCAGAAGCCGAATCTTCCGACTCTGAACTTTCTGCCCGCTGAGCAGCCAGAGCATCGATCAATCGCGGCCGTCGTTTCTTCGGTCTCGGTGATTCATCATCGCGGTCCTTAGCCGTTGATTGCGCAGCACTTGAGCTGGGTTTTGAGGTTGGAATATCGGATTTGCTCCGGGGGAGGGGTCTAGATCGAACGTTCGAGCTGTTTGGACTTTTCTTTGAAACAGGTGGTTTTGGAGGAGGGGCGCTGGCTTTGTTCTCATTTTCAGAGGCTCCAGCTACAGGTCGCTTTGGTAGTGTAGTCGTAGACTTGAGTTGTTTTGGAGCAGTAAGTTTTGTTTCTTCTTCAATCGGTTCGGAAGGCGCAGCTTCTAGGCGCTTTCGTTTTCTCGAATCTGTCGCATCGCGTGGTTTTGGTTTCCCATCATCTCCGGCTTTTGCGCGAGCGGGCTCGTCGGGTCGCTTCTCAACAACGTGTTTTGGAGTTGGTTCTGATGTTGACCTCGGTAGCGACGGTTTTGATGGCTTCGCGACGGAGGCGGAAGAGTCAGGGCGGCTGCTCGGCGCAGTGAACGGCTCAGTGGCTTTGAATGGCATCGCGTCGCGCATAAAGCGCTTGCGCACAGGTTTGCCATACGTCACCACCTTGCGCGGGACTGACGTTGTCGAGCTATCTCGTGACGCCATAGTGTGCTCAGTCCTATGAGCAGAACGCGACGGTTGGAGTGGTGGGTTTATATCATATAATGAGGTCTGTGAAAGTTGAAGGGATAAGATAAGATGACGGTGCACAAGGGGTTGTGGAGGTAAGTCGCACCCGTTAGTGGCAAGTTGCTTCAACACGCTGGTAAATGAAGGGAGCAGGCATGCGGCGCGTTGTTACGGATGCAGATGCAAAGGAAAGGATGATATAGGAGAATCTGATTCAATGAAACAAGCACAATAGATGAATAATAAAATTGAAGATCTTTCACAATGAATCACTGTCAGGGCAGGTTGATCAATGAAATGTTGGAAGGCTTGGGTCACATTTCGGCTGTCAATGGAGAGAGCTAAAAACAGAAACATATTCAATCGAATGATATTAGTAACAAAGAATAATTGAATATATTAATTATAGAGAGTTTTTTTGTTAAATGAATTCCAATGCGTCACTTCTATTGTTCTCATCCCATCTTTATACATTGGATCCATATCCATTCTCATCTCCACTGTTGCTATCATGAATCCATGCCCATGCCACTGTCATGCAGCGAGTGCGGTCTCCTCCGATTTTGTGAGTATCGTAGGGTAGGGTCCTGGCGCCGCCGGCCGATCTCCATCCCCGTTTTAAGCATATGCGAGACCAATACGATTGAGCGTAGCAAGCGGGCAATGCAATGCAATGCAGGGCTACCGACTGTCTTATCCTCGAGAGCTCTAGTTGAAGCCGAGCTCTTCTCTCCGCCTTTCAATTCATTCAATCTTATACTAAACCTTTTGTATCTTGCTCTTCAACCTCTTTCTAGGTTATACCCTCGATTGAACTCCGCTTGCCCACTTGGAAATATCTGAGCTTTACTTCAACCCCGCCATCACCGCTGACCTTACTACAACACTTCAAACACTAACAAACAGCTAACATGGCGGACACGACTCAAGATACTCACACGACACCCGTCGGTCCCTCATACCGCACTCACCAGCAGAAGCCCAGTGCCACCGTCTCCGTCGACGTCAAGCTAGACAATGTCCATGTTCTGTCGCAGACCCCTCAGCTCATTGCCCTACTGTCGTATGTCCACTTCCCTAATTGGGCATCCCATGCCTCGGAGCTGAGAAACGTCCAGGAAAATTCGTAGCAAGGAGACCGAGAGAGCAGACTTCATCTTTTACTCCAACCGAATCATTCGATTGCTAGTTGAGGAGGGTCTCAACCACTTGCCTGTCATTGAGCACACTGTCACTACACCCATTGGCCGAAATTACAACGGTCTCATGTTCCAGGGCAAGATCTGTGGAGTGTCCATCATGAGAGCTGGTGAGGCTATGGAACAGGGTCTCCGTGACTGCTGCCGCTCTGTTCGTATTGGAAAGATCTTGATCCAGCGTGATGAGGAAACGGCCCAGCCCAAGCTGTTCTACGATAAGCTGCCCGAGGATATTGCTGACCGTTGGGTGCTTCTTCTGGATCCCATGTTTGCTACTGGTACGACGATATCCCATTCTACATTTCATTCGTGTCGCAATCTGTCTAACGCAGATATACAGGTGGCTCTGCTACCATGGCGGTTCAAGTTCTCAAGGCCAGGGGTGTTCCTGAGGAGCACATCCTGTTCCTCAACTTGATTGCAAGCCCTGAAGGCGTCAAGAACTTCTCTGCCAAGTTCCCCCGCTTGAGGGTCGTGACGGCTTTCATCGATGAGGTTTGTCACACCGCCTGCACACACTGTCGCAACGTATTGGCTAACCGGGCATTTCTAGGGTCTCGACGAGAAGAAGTATGGAAGTTCAACTCGAATGACACATGACGTGCTGACCAATCAACAGTTATATCGTTCCTGGCTTGGGAGACTTTGGAGACAGATTTTACACCATCTGAGGAAGGAATCATCGCAAAGGTTATATATCCCGAGTCGTAGGCGCAAAGAAAGGGGCTGTCGAGGCATGGGTGTAACAAGTCTTGGTATTGATACAAGGCGCATAAAAGAAACGATTAATAGTCATCCTCTCCGTAGTGATCGTCGTCGTCTTCATCGACCGCCGTTCGGTTACCTCGTCCAGCTCCTGCTCGAGATGTGCCAGTGTAGCCAGGCTCCGCGTTGTCCTCCTTGGCGACAGCATCTATAAGGAGTTAGTCATCATCGATAAAGTTGTTCGAGTAGAACTGTAAACTGACCTGCTGCGTCAACCCATTCACCGTAAACGTCAACCGCCGCAGACAGATCTGTCGCAAAGTCAGTACCCGATGCGCCGGAGGCAAAAGAGAGTCCGTGGAAGCCGTACAGTTGACCGCGCATTGAAACTTTTGTCCACAGACACGGCAGTCGAGTTGTCCGACACCAGCCTTCTTGTCGAGCTTGACCGAAACCGAGTTTTCGTGGTTACAGAAGAGGCATGCGAAAGTGGTAGGAAGAGGATCTTTCTGGATTAGTGTGAGCGCAAAAGCCCCCCCTAAGATAGAGAATACGATAATGAATTGACAAAGGCTTGGCTTGGAAGACGGACCTTCTTGGGCCCCATGGGCTTGCTTGAGGACTTGCGCTTGCCCATGATGTCTCTGAGTTCCGCGATTCGTGCGCGACCGGAACGAGAAGAAACGCGAAACGGGGAAAAAGATGATAGTGAATTTGCTGATGTCAAGCTTTGGACTAGGACTAGGCAGCCCAGGGCAGTCCCAGGAAACAAGGCGCCAGTCAGGGATGTTTGGTTTGGTTTGTTATCTTATCAGTAGAGAAACTCTGTTTGTCGCCTTGCACGTGCTCACTGTCTAACAAGCGGTTTTGGGTTCTGTTAGTGCGGCAGTTGGACGGTAGGCGTGTTTCTAGTGCATGCATTAAGCGGGGAGAGAAGCCCGATTGCCCCGCCCCCGCCTCCCGGCGACCTCCGTGATTCTATACTTGAACGCCGGATTCCGCGAAAGTGATCCTTATCAGACTAGAAGAATGAGGATAAGAGGATAAGCATTGATACCAGCATCCATGGATGACTTTAGAGGGTTGTTTGTCCTTGAATGTCGTATCAATGTGTGGTGGGTGTAACCATTTACAAACAAAGGGAGTTGAGTAAACGGGAAAACAGTCAGAGACATTGAGCAAACTACCAAACCAGCCAATAACTTGAGAGACAACTTGGCTAACAACGGAAGCGTCTTCCTTGCATATTCTCCTGACATCAACTTCTACACCGTCACCTTCACCTTCACCTTGGTTTGGGCGCTGACGACTAAACGCAGGGGGATTCCCCTCCGATTTGGCGGGGTAGCTCCCCTGGCCTGGCTTGGGCTTGGGCTTGGGCTTAGCTTGGTGGAGATTGAGGCTTGAGACTTTGAACGTGCCGCCTTATCATGTGGTCTCTTATCAGCGAATCGTGAACTGTCAATTCCATGCTGATAGACGCAGGTCAGTCACTGGCTATCATGACTGCTCCTTGTTGGGAGAGCTCCCCTCTCTTCTCTCATTTACTTGGTAGCTAACCCGATTACGGCGGCCCGATACATGAAAGTTATGATTGTATAGGGGCCTCTCCCGTTGATCTGCTGACCTTGGAAGGTGACATATGAGGTTAGGGCAGCACAGTTAGGGTGATACAGATCTTGATATCTACAATTTATGTACTATCTGAAGCCCTTGGAGCTGGGGATGTGCTACAGCTCCCCCTGTTCATGACGACCCCGTTGTAAGGCATGTGTCACTATGGCTTTCTCCGACCGCTCTTCCTGTTGTTCCGGTCATTCTCCATGTTTTTCTTTTCCTTTCTTTCTGAAAAGTAAACTCTCTTTCTCTTTCTCTTCTTAAACCGTATCATATCGACTTCTCTGCAACACATATCTCAATCCCATATTCGACACAGCCTACCCTGGAGATCCGCCCTCAACCCCACGTTTATATCTACTGCCATCATCATGGCGTCTAACGATCAGCAATCCAGTATGCTGGAAGCTCTACAGGAGATTCAGCGCACGCAGGCTCTTCTAGTGAACGCGGTCGAATCGCTTTCTGGTAGATCGATCGAAGAATCAGGTGGAGATGTTGGCAAGAACACCATCCTTGAGCCAGGTTCTCGTGAGGATGGCAATGAGGGTGAATCGCCTTCAGTGGAAGCTCCTGTGGCCTCTGGAGACAAATTGAAAGCTCCGGCGCTTCCTTCATCCGATCAACGCCAGCAGCAAGGATTCACATCGCGGATTATTCTGACGTGAGGATTCCTGTATACACAACCACTAACACCGTTCGCTCACACAAGGTAATTAGGACTTACCCCAAGCAGATTGGAATTAATCCTTTGCCCATGGACTGGGGAAATCAAGACCCTGTTAAGCGTGGCCCTATCGTAGTTTCAAGGGCTGCTTCTACTATTCGACGTCGTAATGGTTCGTTCGTCCGTCTGTGTCTGTGATGCATGTGTGTGTTAGTGTTACTGACTTTCGTAACTTGCGTTTAGCTGTTGGAGGTTTGTTATGTCCCCTTTTACTGATGTATCCATTCGTTAACGAGTTTATTTAGCCCAGTGAGTTCTCAATCACCGTTTGTTTCGAGCGAAACCAAGCTAAACATGTCGTTAGTGGTGGTTCGTACTCGATCTACTATGCCCTCGCCGTTGCCAGCAACGAATTGAACGCCGACCACCGGTATGACTTGTGTCTCCAATTCATAAACCATGACTAACAGCGTATTCACAGTCCCGACTTCACCAACACCGAGCCGGCCGCGAACATTGGCCCTTTCCCTCAATGGGGAGACCACAAGAAGATTGTTGCCATGGACCCCTGGGGACATCTCGCCCCTTGGCTGTTCAAGGACACCATCGAGAAGGACAACGGTATGGATTGCGACACCAATTGCTATTGTGTTACTGACAGGTTTATTAGTCGACATTCGACCGACCATTGCCATCACCAAGGCCCATATGAAGGTGGGTGAATGGAACATTGGGGATTGGAAAGGTTATCGCTAACATTCTTATTAGCTTCCTGAACTTGCGGAGAGTGTCAAGGCTGGCCGGCTGTGAGTTCACTCTTCCGTTCTTTGCGTAATACAAAGTTGACTTTTGTAGGGTACCTGATGGCAAGGTTTGCCTGAATGATCAGGGTGAATTGGCTGTCACCAAGTTTGCCGTGGAACCAGTATGCTCCCAGCGCAAGCAGTCAAAGCAAGTCTAACCTCACACTCTAGGTCTGGTACCTCCCCGGTGTGGCAGAGCGATTCGGTATTGGTAAGTATACAGCCATTACTATAGCTGTATAACCACTAACACGACAAAGACGAGGCCACCCTTCGACGTTCCTTGTTTGAGCACACAGGTGGAAGCTACCCAGAGGTAAGCAAGCATTGTGCTGGAAGATCTTACTGCTAACACGGCCAAGCTTATCACGCGCGGAGACATCAAAGTATTCCTTCCCCCGATTGGTGGTCTCACCGTGTACTGCTTCGGAGATCCAGCCAAGATGTCGGATGAATCGGTTCGACTGTCTCTGCGAATCCACGACGAGGTATAGTTCTCCGACTTTCTGTACGACCCTGAACTCACCGTGTTCTGTAGTGCAACGGTAGCGACGTGTTCGGATCTGATATCTGCACTTGCCGTCCTTACTTGATCTTTGGTATCGAAGAAGCCGTCAAAGAGGCACAGAATGGTGGCAGCGGTGTTGTCATCTACTTCAGAAAGGAGGGACGAGCTTTGGGAGAGGTCACCAAGGTAAGTTGCCTGATCACAACTCACAGAATCGAATCTAACTATTTTTGCAGTATTGTAAGGATGAAATCCCTCAAGACTCGGAGAAGCAGCCGTCGTGTAGATCCGGGGTACTAATTCTGGGGTAGTGGTCTACAACGCGCGTAAACGCGGAGCCGATCGCGCATCAGACTATTTCAAGCGGACCGAGAACATTGCAGGTGTCAAAGACATGCGATTCCAGGCTCTCATGCCTGATATCCTGCATTGGCTGGGCATCAAGAAGATTGACAGGATGCTTAGCATGAGCAAGTGAGCGCCTGAGAGTCGAACACGTCGAGGAATCGACAGCTGACATATCTTTAGCATGAAGCATGATGCGATTGTCGGACAAGGGTAAGCTGATAATGAGTCGGTTGTGTTAATTTTGATGCGAGATTGACATGGTTCTAGGATCCCCATTCATGAGAGGGTCGAGCTTCCAGAAGAACTGATACCCGCTGACTCGAGAGTCGAAATTGACGCCAAGATTACAGCTGGTAAGTGAAATGAAGGACAGCAGACGAGATGAGGCCCCAGCTCTATAATCAAGGCGGAAACTAACGGAGATGAAGGCTACTTCACCACTGGTAAACGTATGACAACCGAAGAGCTCCAGGCAGTCCAGGGAAGAATATGGGAAGAGTGAGTACTATCCAATTGTGTTGTTCGGAGCAGAAAGACTGATGACTGTGGCAGTTTCGATCATTAAACCAAACCGGATAGATACGGGCTCAAGCTGTACAAGAGAAGGGACGTGGCGTGGAGCGTCGCGGGGTGCGTCAGCAGCTTCCCAAGTTTGCAGGTTACTGCAGGTCGGTCTGAGCCGTTTTGCGTGGGGGAAGGATGATGATTGCTCAGAATCCATACGATGGCGACGATGCCACGGTACCATTCATCCGTGGTGTTGGGGCTGAGTGTCCCGAACGAGGTACCCGGTCAAGGTGGCAGGTCATACAAGGCAGTTGATGGGTTGGAGACAGTGAGACAAGACCGTTGGGAGCATCCGTTTTTGAGTTTAAGCGCGTCCGGGAGGGAGTTGCTAGCAAGGTTGTACTGTATGTAGAGGTTGCGAGATTTGAAGATGTAGAGTGACTGACGGATAGTGAGTGGAACTCGGAATGGAAGCCTACCCTACTAGTAAGGGGATGGTTAAGATAGTACGGATACCGAATGAATGAATCCACCTTTGGAGGCCCGTCCGTAGGTTGTTCCTAATGGAATCGGTGAGGCGGTCACAAGTCACAAGGGCCGTTTTAATGAGTTGTAATTGCATATTTTCTGACTCCGACACCGTATCCGACTAAAGGAGCATTTACCGAACACCGATACAACCTTGTACGGTATGATAAGGCACCCATGTATGATTGTATGTGTGAGAATGGAGTCGCTTCTGTCTGTCTGTACACGTGTAGAGCACGTCTTGTGGTCATGAGCATGAGCCAAGGGCAAGGGGTCAGTCAAATGCGATGCACGCGGCGGAAGAGATTAATGATAACTAGGTACAATAGTAGATAACTCGCCTTGAATTGACTCTGAGAGCCTGAATGAAAACCTCCGAAGGTTGCCTACCCCGGCCCGAGAAGACGATCAACGATCCATCACCATGCTATGTATGCTGCCATGCCGTGCCATGCCATGCAGTTCCATGTTGTGCCATGTTTATTGCCGAACTGGGTGGATTAATTGCCCCGGGTGATTAACGTGTACATCAATGATCTTGGTCATGGTTCATTCATGTTTATCAGGTACGAGGCCATCCATAGGTGATGGTCAAGGTAATGATTGTCTAACAGAATGCTCATCATGGTGAATAATTTTCCGTTTTTAAATTCCATCGCATCACACACCCATCATTATGCTTGCTTGTAACCCAACCCACCTCAGAGATCCAGCCCCCATCCAGAAACGCTCTCGACTATACACCCTCAAAAAGGAGACGGATACGCTAGAGAGCCTTGGCCTAACGGATGGCTTTTCGTTCAGTATCCAAGCGAGGGTTGGTACTGTCATGGACGCGTCTTTCGATCGATGTAGTACATAGAGTTCACTCAGATGCAGTGCCAATCCTCAATTGAGTTGATCCCATTCCAAGGAAAACAAACAATAGAACGTTTCGTCTTCCTAAGCGGTATGCATATTGACGACCTGTTGGGTAGCAATGCGACAGTAGCTCCGACAAGTATTCCCATAATTTTGCCTTACCGCCAGAAGTGCCCTAGGTCTACCCATTCCCACTATCCACGTTCCGCTGGGCCCGAGGAGACGAGTGGCCGAATGCCTCATCAGGGCGAGTCATCACTGGCTTTACAGGCTTGGAGACCCCCGCAGATGCCTGCACGGGAAACCCGCCTGCAGTCCCCGGGGCCCGCGTCCCTAGCCAAAAAGGCCCAGGGGGACAAGACCAGGATTCTGGGCCATACACCAAGAGACACGCACCAAGACCAGCGAGTGAAGATGGGTTGGTGTTGGCAACCAAATGCAGCGATGAGCCGACAAGTGGCAAGCAGAAAAAGGTCTCTCTTTCTATTCTGAGAATATGAGTCTGGTCTGGTACCTGGACTGCGGCCTTTTTTTGAACACGAATAGAGGACCTATCGTTGCGTGATATCAAAGACTCTAACCTCTGAATGGCCGAATACAACGGCGAAATTTACTGACGGATGGAGGCTATGAAAGATCGTGATGGTACCTGTACAGAGCAGAGGGAACGGTACCCATATCGGCCAACTCCAAAGCTTGTTGTTACTGTAATGATGACTTGCTGTGCACACGCACACGTCCCCAATGCAATGGCACCCTTGTTTATTACCTTACTTAGCTTACCCGCTTGGTCTAACCGCAGCCGTGGTAGCTCTACCACATGTACACGAGGAGGTGGTTGATGTTGTGTGTGGATGTGGATGCCTTGATATTTGTCTCTATGTACATACATATTCGAGCTACTGCCAGCTCCCGTCCATCCAAAGTCTTTTTCACTTTCTTGTTATTCTTCTCAAATGTGAAACCACCTTTCCAACATATCTCTTTTAATGCACATACAACTTTCAGCCTTCAATAATCAACACATCTGACATACACAATGGCCTCTTACATTCGAGACAGTCGAAGTGCGGTGAGAGCTCACAGGCGAGACTCATCGTCATCATCATCCTCACACACAAACTCCAACCGCACAAGACCACGACTTCTTCGCTCTAGTGCAACGGAACCTTCAATTACTGCTTCAAATGCCATCAGAGGCTCATTCGCTGGCCCTGGTTCACCACAAAGAGCAACTGATCTTCTCAACCGTGTTGCCGTCTACTCGCCATCTCCAGAAGCCTCGACTCCAGGCCCAGTCTCACGCCACGCCGAGCCCATCTCAATCTGCCGTGATGACCGAGAGCATTCGCCATCCAGCAGTCCAGGAAGCCAGTCCGTCGTGATGGTCGACTCACCATCTGGTATGTCTCACATCAACATATTTATACCAGCCAATACTAACATCAATCAAGGTTATTACTTTAGCTTTCCTAGCTTTGAGGAATGGAACAGGGACAACCAAGAGGATATGAACAAGGACTCAGATGACTGAGATGTGACGGGAAAGAGGGTGAGAGGAACCGAATGGCCTCAAACCGAAAAAGGAAGACGACATGACTATGACAGAGCGACAACAGTCGCTCATCCAGCACGGCCACACTCGCGACGAGATACAAAAGGCTTTCGCTGACGGCTCAAAGAGGAGCAAGTGACAGCGAGGCCATTGGAACCAAGGGATCAGAACGCATCGCCAACCAACAACCACACCGGCCTTTACCAATATGAGTCTGGAATAAAAGAGGTTGTGGCTGGCTGATTGCGCCCTAGGACTAGGCTGGGTGGATAGAGGTGAAAGACTTCTTGGTAGAAGAGAAGCGGACGCTGAAATCGAGCTGTACACGATGAATGGGGAATAGCTGCACCTCTAAGTAGGTGGAGCGAAGGGGGACCAACAACAGAACAATCTGGGCGAGTCTCGGGACCCATTGACAGAAAGCAAGACGCTTAGATCCAGTTGGACGAGCTCTGCTAAAATACAAAGAAAACAGATAGAAATTATATACATCTCCCCGAAACATACCACAATTCATAAGTTGTAGTAAATCCTGGTTGTCAAATGTGATGAGACAGCATAAACGGTGACATACTTTATCTGTAGGTTCCTTGAATACCTAGAGACTCAAATGACAGCATCGTACCTAAGCAGAAAGTCTTGGTAGGACAAGAGTCGTCCACGCGGGCTAGCTCAGGCTTCAGAAGAGATCATTGTGGCTGTGGCTAGCTGGCTGGGCTGTGGCTAGCCCCGAGTACGTACCCTTAGTAGCAAAAATTCAAAGAAGGCACGTGATGTGGCCGGTCTTGCCCTGCGATCCATTATTTTTCAAGCCCACACAACTTTAGCGCCGGAAGAACAATTGAACCGCGACTTTTCGATCAATTCGTCGCTTAGACCTAAGCTGCTGCACACAAAGATTGAAATTATTTCGCCCCTCCAACCACTCTCTCACCAGTACCATCTCTCCAACGGTTCACACACAAGCCAGCAAACATGGCGGTTGGAAAGTGAGCATCACCCACGACGACCAGCTTGCGATGAATACAATGGGCTTACGCGTTATTTCAGGAACAAGAGACTCTCCAAGGGCAAGAAGGGCCTCAAGAAGAAGACGGTCGACCCCTTCTCCCGAAAGGACTGGTACTCAATCAAGGTTGGTCACCTCGAAACGTGCACAACAACACTCTGGCTAACTCGATTTTTAAAGGCCCCTAACCCCTTCAACGTTCGAGAGTGAGTGACGACCGCGAGACGAATCTGCAAAAAAAAGTTTGTGGGACATGGGAGATTAACAAATTTGCAGTGTCGGCAAGACCCTCGTGAACCGAACCACCGGTCTCAAGAACGCCAACGACGCTCTCAAGGGCCGTATCCTCGAGGTCTCTCTCGCGGATCTCCAGAAGGATGAGGACCACTCTTTCCGCAAGGTCCGCCTCCGTGTCGACGAGGTCCAGGGCAAGAACTGCTTGACTGCTTTCCACGGCCTCGACTTCACCTCCGACAAGCTCCGATCCCTGGTGCGAAAGTGGCAGACCCTCATTGAGGCCAACGTCACTGTCAAGACTACCGACGACTACCTCATCCGCCTCTTCGCCATCGCTTTCACCAAGCGACGACCCAACCAGGTCAAGAAGACCACCTACGCTGCCTCTTCTCAGATTCGGGCCATCCGACGCAAGATGACCGACATCATCCAGCGTGAGGCCTCAAGCTGCACCCTCACCCAGCTTACCTCCAAGCTCATTCCCGAGGTCATTGGCCGCGAGATTGAGAAGTCCACCCAGGGCATCTACCCTCTCCAGAACGTGAGTAGAATCCTTGTCCTCGGTCACCAATAAACTTGTAGGTCTAACATGTATCAGGTCCACATCCGAAAGGTTAAGCTGCTCAAGGCCCCCAAGTTCGACCTTGGTGCCTTGATGGCTCTGCACGGCGAGTCTGGTACCGATGACCAGGGCCAGAAGGTTGAGCGGGAGTTCAAGGAGCGTGTCCTGGAGGAGGTTTAAAAGGATTTTTTTGGCAGGTTGGCGCGGGGTAGGCAATAGGGGCCTCGCGGCTAATAAACTCATCCCTACCAAATTGTTTCGGTCATCGCAAATGGCGTAGCATCACAAGAGGAGCTCCGGGGATTGGGTTCATGTTCCTTTGAATGAATGGTAAAAAAAAAACGTTCGGTCAACACGGCGAATGATTTATGACGTGTGACTTGCTTGTTACGACATTGGATGCTGTGGTGACTTGACGCTGGTCGTGAGGGACGTTTTGAGATGAGAGCCGTAGAAGAATTCTAAGCTGATACCCTATCTACCCAACATTGTAGTGTCACTCCAGATTGTCCAGTGCTGTATTCATGAATTCTAATATTCAGTGTATCTCTATCTATTCAGGGTAGGGTAATATTACAGAGGCGACGAAAATATCGTCCAACATTCGCCCCAATTAGTGGGACATGACCCATGATGCTCAATTCACCTGCATCACTCGGACTTTTGAAGAAACTCGATGACAGCTATCGAATGTCAGCCAGCGCCTATCCAATGCTCCCACAGCACGCGTTGAGTACCCACCTTGTCTGAACGCTTCAGGTTGCTCTGAAATGAGCCAGTGACCAGCATCAATATCAACAAGTCGAAACTTGGGGAAGAACTGGCCAATCAGAGGTAGCACGTCGTCGGGAACGTACTTGCTCCTGGTACCCCGAACGAACAAAGCCGGTTTCACAAACCGGACCTCGTTGGGGTTCTTGTAAGGGAAATCTCCGAGGTTGTCCAATGCCTTACCAAGAGTGTCAAGAGGGATGCGGAACTTGCGCACCTTTTCACCCTCGGGCAGATACATGTTGCCGAGAAGGAATTGTCGAATGGGCAATGACTCCTCATACTCGCTGAGGATCTTGTCGGCTTCGGCTTGGCGTGTGACACCGGCTTCCTGAATCTTCTTCATGGCGCGGACGTACTTGGGGAAGTCTCTGCTGAGTGAAACGTCTACGGGGGCATTGTCGACGGCGACGATATCGGCCACAAGTTCAGGAGAGCGGAGTGCAAGAGCCATTGAAGTCTTGGCTCCCCTAGATTTGTCAGTTTGTTCGGGCTAAATTGCTGTTGAGCAACGCTTGCTCACATTGAGTGTCCGATGAGAGTTGTCTCCTTGAGACCATGACCCTCGATGAACTCAGCTACATCTTGAGCCATGGCACTGTAATCATGCTTGTTGCTGTGAGGTGACTCGCCATGGTTTCTGAGATCCTGTGAACTAACATTGAGTTTCTATCAACCTTTCGAAACGGTTGACCGTTTACTTACCAAAGCATAAACATATCTTCCCAGATCTCGGGCCAAAGCTCTATTTGACATTAGTTCATACTATTATACAGTAAGAAATGATGAACTCACTTGCTTATAGCTCTGTTATTCTTCTTTGATCCGAAAAGTCCGTGAAGGAACAAAATTGGAGAGTTCCTCTTGTCATATTTTGGTTGTGAGGGCTCATGTAAATCGTAAACCAATGGACCAACAGCCTGCGAGTAAAATCTCGTGCTTGGAACTGCAGCCCGTAGACCCTGGCGCCCAACCACCGGGACTGCAGTCGTAGCTATCCTTCGTAAAGACAACATTTCTTAACACAGCAAATCTTTGAAGTTGTTGAGCAAAAGAGCCAATTACGTAGATCTTAAAATTGCCATTTTGGGTAAAGCTAGGTCGATTCGCACCGTTTTACTGCATACTTGCATATCTAATCTTTAAGCACCATGATGTCACCCTTCCTTCTTCAACTTTTGAGCTTGCCAATAACTTATACATCCAGTGGAAAACAAACACAATATCGCACACAACTTGGATCAATAGAGAGAGTGAAAGAAACGATAACTCCAAAAACAATGGACCGAACTTCAATATGTGGTCTAGTCAGGCGCTCAAAAACGATCGATAGGAAAGACAAGGTATGAGAGTGTACAAAGTTGGAGAAACATGTTCAAGGAAATATGTTGGTGAAAAGAGAATGTATGGTTGGACAGCTTAGCTGTCCCAGATGGCACCATAAGCCGGTACGCCGCGCGTCTCGAGACCGTACACGATCTTTTTGGTGATCTTCTCGTTGGCTATTATTATCACAGCTTCGGCATCGAAACTCTTGGCTAGGTTATAGCCCATTCGCACAAGGTCTGGTCGGCCTTGAGTCTTCGTATTCCAGATAACCGCGTCCGGAATAGCGTCTCGAACCTGACCAACAAGCTCTTTGCCGAACGTTTCTTCTGGTCGTGATGTGGACCAAATCAGCTGTGTAGGGCATGACTGATGGACAATGTGGCCCAGTAGCGGTCCAACCCCGGAACCTGTGGCGACAACGACGATTCGGTTGAAGAGAGTTGCGATACGCATCACACCACATGTCGGCACACCACGTACCCAAATGGAACTGGGAGGGTTCTGTATACAAGAACGAGTCCAGTCGCCGGCATTGGAGACAACCAACGAGTAACCCATAGCATGTTGATTAGCCTGCGGGTTGGGGATGGTTGCAAAAGAGTGCCATTCGATCAAGGGTCGTCGTGATAGGCGGGTGAAACTACCATTCACGGGAACAGTATAATCGAAATGCAGGCGAACTGCATGGTCAGAAAGCACCTCGGCCTCAACGGGAACCTTGCGCAGGAAAAACCACGAAGAGGCGATGCTGAGTGTGGCCACCACCAAGAGCCAGAAGTCTGGAGTCTTAACGGCGGCAATCCCTAGTTCTTGGTGTTGAGGCCGCGAGTCGTTGATCGCCAGAATTGTCCGAGCCCAAAATAGACCCAATGATGTCCAACCGGCAAAACGATGGAAGCACTCGAAGAAGTTGTGGTATTGCTTCCGGAAAGAGGGCCATGCAGTAGCCACCATGGAACATAACAGCCCGCATAGAACCCACGATACGACCTGTGTAGCCAAGGACCCAATCGCGTGACCCTCGCAGAAACCTGCATTGCAGATTGTCCCACGTACCGTCGAGATAACCAGCCATGCCGTGGCACAGACTCCCGCACCGGAGTGCACACCACCCAGGTGATATATCTTGGCACAGCGTTTTCTGATCCCGAGGGGCAAATGCTTTGGTACTGAGCAGAAGATGGTATACAGGATGTTGATCACCGTATCTTGTCGTACAAGTACTGCGATTACAAGGTTCATGGCAGTGATGATACCTAGCCATTCTGACTTGAGCTGCAGAGCAATCACGCAGATCAATGCTGCCAAGTTTAGTATTCCTATGAGACTGAACAGGGTGCGGTAGACGATGAAGATCCTATGTCTTAGACCTCTGAGGGGTCGTGCCATCGTCTTATCAGGCAAACCGCGCTCAAGATCAATTTTCTCGGTCACGGTTGACAGAGAAGACATGGACGATTGAGACTTGAGTTCGGCATGATTGTCCTGGACCCTTTCTTTCTCGCATGGTTGCGTTGCAACCCTCTGCTTCGCCAAGGCCAGTGCCTTGAGTTTTCCCTTGTCGATTTTGCCATTTGGTGTTGAGGGTAACTCATCGAGGAGGTGGAGGTGTGTAGGAACGGCATAGTAGGGCTGGTGTTGCTGTACATGCTCAATGGTTGTGGTTGCATTGCATTGGCGTGGGGTGGTAAATCCATGGATCTCTCCGTCGATCAGCAGCGCTGCCGCCCGAGACACGCCCGGGGCCGAAGCCAGGGATGCAGAGATGCCGTCTAGCTCCACACGGAAACCCTGAATTGAGGTCAGATTATGGCGACTGCATGAAGGGACTTTTGATGCACCTTTACTTTGACTTGATCGTCGACTCGGCCGAGAATCTCGACTGAACCATCAGGTCTCCAACGGCAAAGGTCGCCAGTGTTGTATATCGTTGATCTGGACGGTCAGTTACTGCAAAAGTTGATCGAGCGATATTCCTTACCCGTCATTGGCAAAGGGATCTGGCTTGTATCTCTCCGCTGTCTTTTCATCGAGGCCGATATAGCCTCTTGAGACTCCACGGCCGCCTGCCCACATCACTCCTGTGGCACCCATAGGTACGGGTTCACCTAGGCCATTGAGGATATATACCCTGTTATTAGGAGTCGGTCGACCGATTGATAACTGTTGTCCAGCCACATGTTTATGCATTGTATTCACGATCGTTGTTTCGGTAGGTCCGCAGCAGTTCCAATATGTGCCGTATTTTGCCCACAAGTCGGCAAGACTATCGAAGTCAGTAACCGTTGAAAGCAATGCCAGCAGAAAACTCACCCTCTTGTGGTTGGTTCGCCGGCCGTGGCGACTGTTTTTATTCTGGGATGTTGTGTAGGAAGGTATTTGGAGAGGATTGTTGGTGTGCAGATGAGGACATCAATCTATTTCCGTGTAAGTTGGAGCCTGGGAATCGAGTGATATAGTCGTCACAAACCTGTTGGAGAGTTGGTTCCCAATTGGAACCTCGGAGAACGAGTGTTCCTCCATTGCATAGACAGACAAAGACTTCCCATGCCGCTGAGTTGGGTCAGAATTGGAAACATCTCGAATACGAGAAACTTACCCATGTCGAAACTTATGTTGAGGACCGAGCCAACGCAAGTGCCATCTGTTACCCCCAGATTCCCTGGGGCCAGGCACACAAGATTGGCGACATTTCTGTGTGTGACGTCGACGCCCTTTGGCTCTCCTGTTGTTCCTATCTCCCTGTGAGAAGTGCACTCTGAGACATTGAGCTCTGAATTGACTTACCTGATGTATATATCACGTAACAGCCGGAGTCTGGAGTTGCGAGGTCGATATGGGCGTCTTCCTCAACAGGGCTGGTTTTTATTTCGTCAATAACAACCACAGTCTGGCTGGGATGTTGGGAGGTGATGCGGTGCTTTGTTGATGACAGGCAAAGGACAACGCCACCGCCAGCCTGCTCAAGAACTCGACGAATAGTTTCATCGGGGACAACACCTCCATCGAGAGGAACATATTGGGCTCCGCATGAAAGAATTGCCCAGATACCAATCATCATGTCCAGTCCTCTTTTAGCAACAAGAGGTACCCGCGAGTCAGGACAGACACCTTGAGCAATGAGCTGTGCAACCAACTCTTGAGCTCGTCTTGCAAGTTGTCCATACGTCAGCTCCTTTGGTGACCCTGAGAGATCACGAAGAGCTGTGGTGTCTGGAGAAGTTCTTGCATGGTGATAGAATGCTGAAGTGACTGTTGGGAATGGAGGCTCGACGCAGTCCCCTTGGCCAAGTTGAAGAGCAGACTCGTGCAGGGAAGGTCCCTGCAGCGGACTGATGACTACCATTGTGAAGATGACTCCTTAAAGAGTGAATTAAGGTGTAGAAAAGACAATGGGGATTGTTGGTGTCTGTTGTTGACCGTTGGGTTGACCCTGAGATAACAACGGACGGCTTATATATTTTCAACGGCGTGGCAAAGGTGGCACCCGCCCTTGAAAGGATGTTTCATCTTTGTCTTCTGAGATGTCCATACTCATCATTATCGGTCTTTCATCAATCAATCGTCCCTTGACAAGTCCCCATGGGGGGCTGACGTCGTCGCGAGATATGGAGGTTGCCCTGATTTCCACAGCAACTTCGGCTCGAGCTCACGCCCCGGAGGGGACGGCGGACCCAGATTGTCATAGTTGCTTCTGCATTCCTCTCACACCCGCCCGGGGGTCTTAGTTATACGGAGCCGGCCCCGGGGTACGGAAGAATGTGGGACGGGGCAGCCCGGTCAAGAGAGGAATGTGACGGGCGATGAGACATGTGCACGCCAAGGGGGGATCCGGACAAGGGTCCGCAATTCAGGTACCGATAAATCGCTTTTCACATTGAGGAACCGGCTTCTGGGGTATTCCTTCAATACTACCTTGCCAAAATCCGATGGGCTGGATCTTAGTCGGGGACTCGATCACACCCTGGAAACCGGAACCTGTCAGTCAAAGTGAACCCTTGTCCAGGGCTATCGATTATGACGGACATGTCTTGGAGATCCATTCCCGCCCTGCAATTCGGGGTGTGTGAAGATTCCGTGAAGATATACATAGGCTGTGGCTTTTTGGTGGTGCCAAGAGTGTCTTTGATGATTGTGCTGCCAACTCGACTCAACGTAGTGAGTGGATGGCGCATCCTTTTGGCATAAAAGATGCTCGACTAATCAGGTTTGAAGACCCGTCTATCACTCTCTGACAGTATCAATCAGTTCACAGTTCTACTCCTCGTTTAATCACGTCTTCATTCAACGTCACCATTCATCATGTCAGATACCAGTCTCATAATTGTTGACTCTCCCGAGCACGCACCGGGGGTGTCAGTGATCACACTCAACCGCCCAAAGAAGCGCAATGCACTCTCAAAAGCCATGATCACTGAGTTGGAGCTCTCTCTCGAGTCTCGGTTGACTCAAACACCAAAGTAATTGTCGTAACTGGACGCGGCTCTTGCTTCTCGGGTGAGTTAAGTTCCGAACCACGTTTACTTGGCAGTCTGTTGATTTGCTTGATAGCTGGTGCCGATATCAAGGAGATATCGGCCATGGATGCAGAAGCAGCAAGATCTTGTCGTTACCTGGAAGATCTGTGCCATGGCATGGCTGCAGTGAGAAAGCCTATGCTGGCTGCGGTAGATGGACCAGCAGTATGATCTCTTCAACACTTTGTGATAGTGCTTGTAGCTGACAACTTGTGATAGCTTGGAGGTGGTTTCGAGCTTGCCATGATGGTGAGACTCCCACACAACGGCCAGTAGCCAAAGTATCTAACATGTCCCAGTGTGATTTGATCTATGCATCGCCACGTGCAAAGTTTGTGCTCCCTGAGGTGAATCTCGGTCTCATCCCCGGAGCGGGAGGCAGTCAACGGCTCACATCTGCCTTGGGCAAGTTTAGAGTAAGCTTCACGATACACGTGCTCGAGATGAGGCGCCGAGACTGACTTTGTTTACTAACTCAACTTAGGCCATGAAAGCAATTCTCCTTGGAACGCCGATCTCGAGTGAAGAAGCTTTGTCTTGTGGGCTGGTCTGCGACATGTTTAAGGACGGACAAGTATTGGACAAGACTATCGATGCTGCTGCGCAACTCGCAGCTCGAGGTGGTGTTGCCGTTCAATTGGCTAAGGAAGCTATATGCCGAGGTTTGTTGACATACTTTGTCTCATGTTTTGATCTGAAGCTAATGGTCTGCAGCTGATGATTCGTGCCGTGATGACGCATTTGAGAGGAGCTTGTATTACTTTGCTTTTGAGACGGAGGAAAAAGCAACAAGGGTCGAAGCCTTTCTGCGAAGGTAACTTGTTTACTCGTAAAGGAATCTCCTAGTTTCAGTAGATGCTTTTTGTCTGGCATCATTAGCTTAGTCTTCGTCATCATGGCTTTGGTGGAGCAATATCGGGTTGCTTCAGCTCCTGCATACCAGCAAATACCTGTCACTGTTCCCTTCTGTAGCAATGGCAGTGGAATTATATGACCTATATATTACTTGCATCCCTTTCCCTTGTCGCTTACTGGCTCGCCCTATCGGAAGCCCCCCAGGTCGTCAGTGGTCAGTGGAGTGAGACAAGAGCCTGGTGTTCGGCGACGGACCGTGATCCCGCCAGAGTACTGTATCTACTGTGCTAATGCCAAGCTGACAGTTTGAGAAGAAACTATGTGAAAGTGATTAACAGGCAATACTGTACTGAGATAAGTAAAAGGGGATCTGGAGCCAGTTGGGGAGGCGTTCCGAGACCCGTCGCTTTTCGGCCTCTGTTTGCCACGCGCCAGGGCTTGATGAACTGGCGTTTAGGAATGGGAAGATCTTGTCTCTGTTTCAATGTTGTCTTTCTGGAAACATGAGATGAGCGAGGGATGGAACGTTGTTGTTACGTGGAGAGAACTCTTGCATGTGTTTGCGAGGACGCTTGGGTGAAGTGAGAGCTCACAGCTGCGTGACTATCTCTGCAGTGACTGTGTCAGAGAACCAAGTTTTACAGGATTTCTCAAGTTGTCATGGGTTAATCGTCATTTGATCGTCGATCAGAGAGCTATCTCATAGCGTGATGAGGACGATATGTGATAGTTGATCGTTGGGATGCCTCTTTGCTTTTGGATGCTTGTGAGTATCGGCATGTCAACTTGTCATCAGTGTCAAAAAGTCCCTAGTCTTAGAGATAGTCTTCAACTTCAGCTTGACATGGGCATGAGCATGCCTGAGAGGGTATTAGCAAGGCTTAGCAATGGATGGGCCCGCGCCAAAAAGGGTTGAGTGGCTTCTTTTCTCAAACCTCGCTCAACTCTTCCAAGCCTTTCCTTTTATCTTGGCCCGAAACATTGGTACTCTTACGACTGTATGAGGTCTCTTTTTCACCAGAGTAAAAGAAATATGAGGCTAGATAGTTCTTGTCGGCAAAGGGAGGATCCACACAGAAGTCTCAGTTGACGACCTGAATGTCGGGATATACCCCCTTGATCACTTGTCATTATGATAGATACATAGTTAGCCCGTGTCTCAGCTATCACTCAGCCAGTACCGTGGATACGGATTTCATGATATGCTGTACTAGGCAGATGAGAGGTGAACAAGGGCGAGAGATCTGCATACAGGCTGAAGAGGTGAGTGACAAGACAGACCGAGTGTCCGGCCGAGGACAACCCCTGTAGAATACCTGTAGAAGCAAAAGTGAGATGTATCGTGTCAGTTGAAGTGAGTAATTGATTCAACGAGTGCAGGATCTGAGACTCGTGCGAGATTTACCACAAGGATGTGTTGTTGACTTGATCGATGCTGATGCTGTAGGAAAAAGCAAAAATGGGTCAAGGGGGTTGGTTGATCCTGGTCGATCAGTCAAAGAAACTCGAGACATTGCTCACTTCTCAGCTCAACCAGAGACTGATTCAGTCTTGGAGCGTCATTCATAACTTTTTATGCATTTGAGAGCATCTGCCTTGTTTTTTGTCAAGTATCGAACTGGTCACCCATCATCTCACATACCAACCAACTACCCTGTAGGAGCACACCTTGAATTTGCTTCGGATCAACAACACATTGACTGTGGGTGCCCAATCTTATTTACAAAATCTTTGACTATTTCTGAGCTCTTGAGCTGAGTAGACTCTGTGTAAATTAGTTGTTAGCTTTCCGATTCCTTCTCTAAGAGCCCCACGACTCCAGTGTGCACATCGTGAGACAGATCTTGATCCTCTAGCCCTACTCCCTATCCGTGAAACTCTCCATCAATGCACCTTGAGACTGCACTTCCGTAACTTGGCCCTATAAAGCTTGTAACTTGATCTACCAATGCTGGAGTAGATCGGAAGCTATTATGACGGTGAGTTTGAGTCTGTCTGTCTCCGATAAGATCATGTACCGGTGATTCTGGCCAAAGGACTTCATTCAGCGATGTCATGGTTCTGTTGCACCTTTCTCTATATTTGCTCGGAATGATTGGGTACACATCATATGACTGTCCTTTAGGAACTGACGTGTTGAATATCAGCCCAAAGCAAGTATCTGTCGCTTGTAAAAATGGCTGCCTGATAACTTCGCAAAGGTTCAAGAGCCTCGTTGTTGTCATATGTTCCTCGCGTGCTACCGTCTCGGGCTCCAGAGTGCTGTCCGGAGGCTGAAGTGAGTCGACGGCTGTTGAAGAAGATGATCCCTTGAATAATGATCGTCTAATTAATCCTGAATATTGCCAGCGTTTCTCGAACTTGGAACGTGACGACTGTGCTGCGGTCTGCGGGCGCGGTGTAGATGTTGGCTTGACCAATATATCTGACCATTTTGTATCATGGTTGGATGGAGCGGTAGGGCTCATACCGGGTCCTTTACACGACAGACAAAGGCAGTAAGGAAAGCTGCCTTATTTAACTAAAGAAGATAACCATCTATTAAAGCTATTTCTAGGTCTTTAAGATATAATAGCTTATTATTTATCTAATTAAGATTAATTAAATTAATATATTACTTTTTTTTTTAATAATTAATTAATTAAATTTAGCTATAATTTAAAATAAGTACCTTAATAAAGTTAAATCTGCCTTTTAATAAGAGGTTTTTTATAATATAAGTAATTATTATATATATATATATATATATTTACTTTTAACCTTATAAAACACTATTTAGCTTTTTAGCTTTTTTATTAATAACTTAAATAAAAAAACCTATATAATAGGCTACTATACTAAAAGTTAATATTAAATAAGGTTATTTACTTTAATAAAATATTTACTACCTTAATTAAATAATATAAATACTAGCTATAAGTTTCTTAATAGCAAAATAAACCTTCTTCCTTTAGCCTACTTAAAGGAATATTATACTTAATTTATTTATTATACTTAAGTATATTACCTAATTTAACTTTTCCTTTATTAATTATAGTTATTAATATTAATTCTAATTATTATTATAATAAATATATATAATAGCCTATAGCTTAATTAGGGCTATTATATAATTAATTATAATCTTATTAATATAATTAAATTAGCCTTAAAGTAAGCTATAGGTAGAGATTATTTATGTAATAGTTATAACTATTTAGAAAAACTTCTTATTAAAAAACAAGTCTAGCCTAATTAAGTAAGTTAACTATATAAATCTAAGTTACTTAAGAAATATAATATTTCTAGTTTTAATTAATTAAAAGTTATTTAAATTAAAAAAGCTAAAAAAGCCTTAAAATATAACTAGCCTTTAATACTAAAAAAGGTAGCTTTTTTTATTACCTTTATAAGCCTAAACTTAGCCTAATATAAAAATTTATTTATTAATATAATTATAAAGATAAAATAAGTATGTTATATTCTTTTTATTATATATAAATAAAAGGAGTTTATATATAAAGTTAAATAAATATAAAACAAAAATAGGGTTATATTAAAGAACTTCTATTAAGTTTATTTTATATAAGTTAATAAAAGTTAAGTTACTTAAATTTTAACTTAAATAATTAAATATATATACTAAGATATATAATTAATTAACTTTATATATAAAAATAAATAAAGTAAAATTAATAAAAAAGCAGTAATTTAAACTATAAAGTAATTATTTTATATATATTATATAAAGTTCTTTTTTATTAACTACCTTTAAGGCAGGCCTAGTAGCTAGATTAAGATTATAACTAGTTATATAATAGATATAATTATATAACTATAAGCTATTTTATATAATAAGTAATAAGGTATTATAATTATTATATTATTAATATAAAGGATTAAAGGGAAAGTTAAGTTAAATAATATATATAAATATAATAAATAAATTTAATATAATATTTCTTTTTATAAGTTAAAAAAAGAATATTAATTTAGCTATTAAGATTTAGTATTTATATTACTTAATTAAGGTAATAATTATATTAATAAAGCAAATAACATAGTTAATAAGCAAGCGCTCTGAAATAAGCAAGTACTTTAAAAATCCCTTAACTTTATATCTAACTATCTAATTAATTAGTTCTTAATTACTTAATATATAATAATCCTTAAATAAAGCTAAAATCCTTTTTACCTTTTAGGCCTTTTAAAATAACTTAAAATTAAGTCTCTAATATATTATATATATTTATAAAGTTAGCTACTTTAATTTATATTATTATTAAAATAGTATTTAATTATAATATAATTTTATTTTAAATTTATAAAGATTACTTAATTTATAGAGGTAAATAATAATTTAATTTATTCTTAATTTAGGCTTATAAAAATTTCTTTTATAATTATTATTTATAAAGAAAATAACTAATTCTTTATTTATAAATTATAATATATTATTTATTAATAAGTATTAGGCTTATAACTTTATAAAGTAATAATTAAAACTAAAAATATATTTATTTTATAAATATAACAATTAAAAAGCTAAATATAAAGATCGTATTATTATTTATAGCTAGTTTAAGCTTATATAAAATATATTTATAAAATATAATATTTAATTAAATAATATCTAGAACTTTAATAAAATTAGCTTTATAATAGGCCTTATTATAGCTAGAATAGTTATTATAAGTTTAGAAATATAAAAAAGGCTAAAATTAATATAGCCTAGAAATTAAAAATAAATTATTATAATTCAAGTAATTAATATAAAAGGTTAATTAATTATATTATTTATTATTAATATAAGCTAATATTACCTTATAAATTAATATTAAAAATATAACCTTTTAAATAATTAAGTTATTATAATAAGTTAAAATAAATATATAAATAATAAGCTAGGCTTTAAATAATTAGAATATTTTAATTAATTTATAATTAAATAATTAAATATTTAATATTATCTTTTAATTCTTAATAATTATACTAGCTATTATTTAGCTAATTTTAAAAGATATTATAAAAAATATAAAATTATTATACTTTATATACTTATTTATATATCTTATTTACTTTAGCTTTTTAATATTAAGTACTTTAGGCTATTAAAATAAGTTAATAATTAAGAAATAAAATATTTAATTAAATACTTTATAACTTATATTTTTAAAATTACGTTTTTTTTTACCTTTTATATTATATTTAAAGCTATTTTTATAAAAAGTAATATTTAAAGAGGTTTTAAAAAAACTAAGCTTATTTCTTTTAATTTAGAAATTATAATTTTAAAGCTTAATATATAATTATAGGCCTTAATACCTTTTAAAAAGGCTATTTAACTATTAATATTATAGGCTTAAAAGACCTTAAAGATAATAATTAAGGCCTAATTTTAATTTAAATATCTTAAAAAGTAAATTAAAAGATATTATAATAACTTCTTAAAGTTTATTATTAAAGCTTTAAAGTTAATTATTAAGGTAATAAAGGTAATTATATATAAAATTATCTTATTAAAGGCTAAACTTTATAATCTTTAAAATATAAATAAAATATTAAGTTAATATTATAAAGTAAAAAAGATTAAATTATAAAAAAAAAAAGAATATAATTATATAAAAAGTATTATAAGTAATTAATTAAATCGATATTAATATATAAATAATAGCTAAATTATTAAAAAATAATAATTAAAAAAGGTTAAAGTAATTAAGTAATTAGTATTATAATATATATAATAAAGGCAGTTATAATATAAGGACTTATAAGGATATTTTTAAGTTATTTAGGAAAGAGTTTAATAAGTAAAAGTAGCCCTTTTTAAGCTATAGCTTAAGCTTTTTAAATTATAGTTTAAAAAGGTTAAAAAAAGTAAAGCACTTACTTATTTAAAGTGCTTGCTTATTAATTATATTAAACTTTATTTAATTTTAACTTTTATAATAATAGCCTATTATAAGGATCTTAATATTTAAATTATTAATAAAAAAGCTAAAAAGCTTAATAGCCTTATATAAGGCTAAAGGTTAAAAAAAATAAAAAAAAAGTATTTTATTATAATTAGTTAAAAATAATTAATTAAAATAAGACTTTTTATAGATATTATAAGTTAAAAAGATAATTAAAAAAAACTAACTAGTTTCTAAGGGTAATTAGTTTCTCTCTATCTAATATTAAGTATGCTTTTTTGTATTATATAATTAGAATTAAGGCATTTAAATACGGCCACTCACAATATACTTGCAGGCTTCAACCGGGGAAGCGGATGTCAGATGTTAGTGGAGTACCGGAGTCCAAGCTTGGATTTTCAGGGAGCTCCTCCTGTCCGGCGAATTCCCTACCACCATCGTCCAAGTTTTTGTCACTCCACAATTCAAGTGGATGATATGAACATCCGTCTCAGCACAAACTCACAATCGTCGCCGCCAAAGGAGGCTCAATTCAAGGTACCAGCTATCGCTTACAGTGGAGTCACATGGGAATATGAAGCGAAGTCATTACGCCTGTGACCAATGCCGAAGGTCAAAACGAGCTTGTGATGCACCACCTCTTCTTGGCCCTGCATCTTCAAGATGCAGCGGTTCCATGACAATTGGAGAGCGGCTCGGTAAGTCAACCGCTGCGACTGAGCCGCTCCCTTGACCCTCTGATGACCAAGACTAATGGTAGTTAATTGAGGTAGCCTCTGGAACTGGCCATGAGCCTTGTTCTTATTGTACAAAGACGAGGAAAACATGTACTATGAATTGGGCTTGGTCGCAAATACAAGCAGCGACTTCATTAGATGCTTCAGATCATGGACCGAATGTTCCGGTCAAGAGGCAGAGAAGTGAAGCGACACATACACAGCACCAAGCAACACCAGCTTTTGAGAAACAAGATCCGATATCTGCGGCTTTGTCTGCGGCTTCACGCGTCAATGGCTTGTCACGGCCACTGTCTCATGACCCAAATCGTCTCACTCAAGGCCCGCGTTTACCCAATCTCCAAAGAGCAGCTGAACCGCCCGCCTCAAGCTCAATCAATGGCACAGCGTTTGAAACACCTCTCACTCATAATTATACACAAAATCTCAACAATTACAACAACATAAACCAGTTCCCATCCGGTTACCCGCAATCTACTTATTCACAACCGAATGACTCACGTCTCTCAATCCAGTCACAGCTCAATACTTGGTCATCTACTCCCCCATCAAACTCATCAAGATCTTACAGTCATCTATCTCCGCCGCCGATTGGAGAGGATACCGCCAGTGAAGATGATACAACGAGGTTCAAGCGTCGGCGCACATCGCCAATCTGGAGTGATCGTCGCATGAACTCATTATCGCCGTTTTCAGTTGACCAGACGATGATGACGAGAACAAACAACCAGTTCATTTCCACAAATCTCCTACAAATCTACCATGACGTTCTCGAACATAATCTCTCGTGTTGGCTCACAGAAGTCACATGCCCCTACAGAGCTCCTGGCTATGTCACATCTGGAAGTTATGCCCCTACAGAATGGGGATCCTCGTGGTCAAACCGTATATATCGCCGCACCATCAACCTTGACCATGCAATTCAGACAGCCAAACTCACTCGACTAACGCGGGCTGAAGATCAAGGCGCCGCTAAAGCCTTCCACCTTGCTATAATGGCCTTTGCAACGCAATGGGCTCAAGGCAGTCGCCGTCAACAACAGCGCTATTCTGACGAGGATGAAAGGCCAGAGGATATCCTCAACGACGTCAATGAGGAGTTTGACCGAAACATTCAACGAAACATTTGGGAGCAAGCAAAAAGAGCTCTTCAACAAGTTTCAGACGTTGAGTCGTATCGTGTGGCTACGGCAGAGTTGATATTTGGTCTAACGCAAAAGCCATGGACTCGTGACGATGAGTCGATGGCTCCCAAGAACCCCAACACGTTGATAAGCGCTTCTTCAAAAGTTGATCTGAAGTCTTTGAACGCCGAGCTAGGAGAAATCATATCACGAGATGGCCTACCTGTTTTCATGGAGAGAGCTGCACGAAAGATGCATGCTCTCAAGTTCCGATTCGATTCAGGCCGCCGTGGTGTGACTGGACCTCTCGCTAGCCCGAAGAACAACGACTTGTTGTCCATGATGAACCCTGAAGATCGTGGCACTGTTGGTCTGCTATACTGGCTTGCAGTTATGCTCGATACTGTTTCCTCGTCTATGAGCGAGCGTCCGGTTGTTGTTGCTGATGCAGACAGCCAACACGACGATGCAGATGAAGACCTGGATGCAACAACAAATGGACGGTGGAATGTACCTTTGTTCATTCAAGACAGTCTAGAGCAGCCTCATATGTATCATGCTGTGCACTGGCCTTGCTCTTATGAATCTGCTGCTGAAGCCGTCACCAAATCAGCACCAGTCAAGGTCCTCCTATTCCGGCATGTCTCTTATCTTCAGAACATTCTTAGAAGAGGTGGCCGCGGTGAGACGGTCGAAGAAACAATCAAAAACACAACCTCACTATATCGATATTGGAATATGACACATGGTGCGTTCTTTAAAGAGTTACTTCACGACTACGAATCAGTGCCAGCCCGTCTTCAGAGCTGGTTTGTCTGTATCTCAGCACATTGGAACCTCGGTGCCCTTATGCTCGCCGATCTTGTCGAATATGTTGATGAGAACGAGCTTGGAGAAGCAACAGCATCGCAAAGCCGCTTAGCCAGCAAGATGGTCACAAGAATACGTGAAGCGAGTGCACGAGAACTATCCGACCTGGCAAAAGTATCAACGCCAAGTCACAACCTAACAAATATGACGGCGCCTCAGATGTCACATTTTCATCATGCAGTAAACGAAGCAACTATTCTTACAGAGCCTTGGACTATCATCCTCATCAGGGCGTTTGCCAAGGCAGCTATGATATTAATACACGAAGCGAACGATTTCTTGGAGTTTGGGCTGACTACACCGGCCAACACTGGTCATGATTTTCAAGAGAGTATGCGGCGTGCACAAGATTGTGTAAAGGGGTTGTGGATATTAGGCAAGAAGTCTGATATGGCAAGGAGGTCTGCAGATACCCTGGTTTCAGCGATGAAGAAGTTGAAAGTATGATGATGTTGGATGGATTATCCAGTCTTACTATTTTCATGTTGAGTTTTAGATAGGTAGAAATCATCTTTGGGTTCGGCTCCCTTTCTTGCAACCGACATAAGAAACTACTAACCTAGGCATACGTGCAGTTGCTGCATGTGAAGCCGAAGGGAATAGCAAAGAGTGCAAGCTGCTTCTGATGCTTGCCAATATGGTCTCGATATGTTTCCATGTTTCGTAGCCCTTTCTTACACAGAGGGCATATTGTCCTTTCGGGAAATTCTGTCTTGTTCACAGTACCCAGTTGAACTAAATCCTCAATTTCAGAAGGCTGCTTTCCGTCGCTATGGCTCAAAAGCCGGATAGCTTGGAGTTTGACACGTGTGTTGTTCTGTAATTTCTGATCAAGTGTGTCTGCTCCAGCCTGAAGTGCTCCAGCATTTCTTGACCATCGAGTGAATCGACTCTGTAAGTTCTTGAAACGGACAACGGCATCAGATTTGGGAGTATTGGCGATGCTCGGGTTTTCCAGCTGTATGTCCAGGACTCCAAACGCCCTGACGCAGTTTCTTATGAGCTGATCAAGACTGCTAGCCATGATTGAGAACTATTATAAGTCATGATATTGTAGAGGGATGATTTCATGCTGAAGAAGCGGAGGCAGCTTCAGCTCAGATCCTCCTGCACAGCCAGTGTGCAGATATGCCACATCACAAAATGCAGGCACCTTTTTTCTTGCACTTTCAGTCCGACATTTATGCCCAAACAACATTCTCTGTTCGAGTTGTGACCTCAAAGTCGGGCACGCGATAAGCTCCAGCTCTTAGCCATGTTCAGCCCTAATAACACTTCACGAGCATTGCCGCCTCTCCATGAAACATTGTTGCTTATATCTACGATCAAGACCCGGATAATCCGCTTTGGAGCCACCAGAACCATGTCTGGTCTTGAAATTGCCGGCCTTATTCTGGGGGCGAGATGGGGAGCCAAGGATTAGCGATACTCCGGCGAAGCCGCAGGTACGAAAATGAACTGCAGAGGCTGATCAACAAGTTTGAGAATGAGCGCGTAAGGTTAGAAGACGTGTATGAGAAAGTGCTCATCGATCTTGTGCCTCACTCGCAAATAGAGGGATTGATCCAAAACCCCGGCCGCCTCTTCTATGATGATCCAGAACTTCAGACTAAACTTCGAAGGCGGTTGTGGAGAGGCTATGGCATATTTGATAGGACGTTGAAAGAGATCAAGGCGGCCTTAGATGAGGCTACAGAACGTATCAACGTCCAAATTCAAGATAAATCGAATCTTAGAAGGTCACTTCGGCACTCGTTCCTCGACTATTTATTATCTCGCATCAGTGAAGGGGTGTCAGTTCTAGAACAGATTGTGGATATGAGCCTTCAACTCGAACCGGCCAGGAAGATACGCTTCCAAGGAAAATTCCTTTCCTATATGCGAGGTATAGCAGCTGAGCTCTTTGCAGCCTTGCAGGCCAGTTTTGAGTGCCCGTGTCAGCATCATCTTGGTTTACAGTTGGAGAATCGAACTTCGGACGCCGTGCCAGATGATACATTACATGGCAACCTCATTGGAGGAACCGTATTCCGTCTTTATAAGTAAAGAGTGGCTTTATAATATATCTATAAGGGCAGTTAATGTTGCTAGAGAGCTGCTATTAAATTATAAAAGCTAAATTAATAAGGGATTTTAATTAAAGAAGCTGCTTTTCCTAAAATATATAAGTTACCTAATAAATTACCTTATTTTTATAAATATAGTATTATAATTAGAAAGATATAATTAGGTATTATATTTTTTAATTTAATTACTTATTTTAGTATTTAATAATTAAAAGTCTTAAAGTTATATTTCTTAAAGGTAATTATAGTTATTATAATAAATATTTAATTTATAATATATAATTATATTTTAAGATTTAATAAGTAATAATAATATCTTTAATTATAAATATAAATACTTATTTCTTAAATTAACCTAATAACTAAGATTTCTTTAAATAATTATATATTATAAAGATATTACTAAAATAAGTATATAACTTTAATTAACTTAATAATTTAAGCAAATTTTTAACTCTGTATATTTAAGAATTATAGAGGCTTAAATTTAATATTTACCTTATAAAAGGGATACTTAAGTATAATTTATATTCTTTAACCTTTAATTAATATAAATACTATATAATATTATATATTAAACTAGTTATTAAATATTAAAAGGTATATAAAATATTAATAATAATATATAAAAGTAACTTTAATAAATGTAATAAATAAGTTAATAATATATATTATATACTTAATTAAATAATAAAAATAATTGATTTATATTATATTTAAATATATATACTTATTATTAATAAATTAATATAATATAATAATATTATATAATTTATATTTAATATTAAAACTAAATATAATATTAGTAATATATTAAAAAGAAAATAAGCTTAAAAATGCTATTTTAAATTATTAAAGTTAGCCTTAAATAATAAAGTAAATTAAAAAAAATAAATTACTTTTTAAAAAAGATAATATAAATTATAAAACTTAAAAGGGTTATAAAAATATAATACCTAAATATTTAATTTATAAATATATAATAAGCCTTAAAACTTTACTATTAATTTTTTTTTTAAATTAAATAAAGTTAAAATAAAATAATATTAAAAAGAAATATATCTTTTATTTACTTTTTTTTTTACTTAATTTTAATAAAAAGTTTAAAATAAAAGAAAAAAAATTAAGTTACTAATTAAGTAAATAATTAAAAAATGCCTTAAATTAATATTTTAAGCCTTATTATTTAAAAATAAAAAGTAAAGTTAATAATAAATTAATAAATTAAAAGAGAGATTAATAAAGTAATTTTATTAATATTTTAAAATACTTAAATAATATATATTTTATATAAAATTTAATAAATACTTAAATTCCTTATTATATTAAATAGTATTCTTAAATAAAATATTTAAGAAATATTAATTATTTTAAATATAGCTAGACTTCTAAGAAAAGTAATTTAAATAAAGAAAAGAAGTTTAAGAACTTTATAAAAAGCTTTAAATAAAACTAAAAAGCTTAAATAAAGTAAAGTTTATAATTAAATATTTAATTATTAATATTAAAAGAAATAATTACTTTTTTAATATTAAGTTATAAATATTTATTATAAAACTTATTAATCTTAGAATTTAAGATTATAATTTATATATTTAATAATTCTAAGGGATTTAAGGCCTTAATAAGACTAATATATTAATAAAGATATTATTTAATATATTAAGATATAACCTTTATATAAGTTAAGTATAAAATATAATAAGTATATATTTAAATATATTTCTAAAATAAGGAATTAAGCTATATAATTTAAAGTAGCTATAATATAATTTTTAAATTATTAAAAAGGTAAATAAAACTAAAGTAATAGTTTAATATTATGAATTTAGATATTTAGGCCTAAAAAGCCTAAAATACTTAATATATTTTTTATTTTAAGTAAAAGTTATAAGAGTTAGTAGAATTAAATATAATATATATAAATTAATAAAACTAAAATACTAAGAGTATTATTAACCTTAGAAATAAGCTATAAAACCTAATAAAAAAGTATTAATAAACTTTTATAACTATTTATTAAGGATTAATAGTTTTAACTTATATATTATTAGTATTAATTAAAAAATAAGGCTATATTAGGATTATTACTTTATAAATAATTATAATATATGTTTATATATTATATTAAAATATATTTTAAAAATATTTTAAATAATATATAATATTAAGTTATAAATATTAAATATATATAATAAATTATAAAAAGAAATAATATAATTTATAATTAGCTTATTAAGAAAGGGATTTAAGTAAATAAAAGTATATTATTTTTTTCCCCTTACTTTTAACTTTATAAAAGGCTATCTAGCTTTTTAGCTTTTTTATTAGTAATATAAATAAAGAGACCTTTATAACAGGCTATTATAATAGAAGTAAGTATTAAATAAGGTTTATCTGCCTTAATAATATAATTACTACCTTAATTAAGTAATATAAATACTAGCTATAAGTCTTTTAATAGCTAGATTAACCTTTTTCCTTTAACCTACTTAAATAATTCTTAGTTAACCTCTATAATATACTATGCCTAATTAATCTATTATAAAATATATTACCTAACCTAACTTTTCTTATTAGTTTTATTTATTAATATTAATTATAGCTATTATTATAATACCTGCTATTTATAATAACTTATAGCCTAATTAAGGATATTATATAATTAATTATAATTTTATTAATATAATTAAACTAGCCTTAAAGTAAGTTATAAAAAGAGATTATTATATATTATATATAATAATTATAGCTATTAAAAAGAACTTTTTATTAAAAAGGAAGCCTAGCTTAATTAAAATAGCTATTTTTAATTATAGCCTAATTAAGTTAATTAACTATATAAATCTAGGTTACTTAGGAGATATCATATCTCTAGCCTAAATTAATTAAAAGCTATTTAAATTAAAAAAGTTAGAAAAAGCCTTAAGGTATAACTAGCCTTTAATAATAAAAGAGGTAGCTTTTTATATTAACTTTATAGGTATAGCCTATTATAAAGAGTAGCTTATTAATATAATTATAAAGGTAAAATAGGTACTTTATATCCTCCTTATTATATATAAAAGAGTTAAATAAATATAAGGTAAAGGCAAGGTTTAGAAACTTAAAGGAATTATATTAAGTTTTATATAAGTTAATTAGTAAAAGCTAAATTAACTTAAAGATATAACTAGCTTAATTAATTAAATATATTTAATAAGGCATATAACTAATTAACTTTATATATAAGAATAAATAAAGTAAAATTAGTAAAAGAGTAGTATTTTAAACTAGGAAAAAGTATATTATATATTTAATAGTAAAATGGCTTTAGTAAATATTTTAAGAAAGCAATAAAAGAGAAAGTTAGGCTATTAATACTTAATAATAACTTAGTAATAGGCCTATAGTTAGAGATAATATTAGCAATTAACTAGTATTTAATTAGTTAAAATAACTTAATTAATTAATTAAATTATAATTAATTAGCCTATAACTAATCCCTAATTAATTAAACTAGTAATTTAAGTATAGTTAAACTAGTTATTAAGAGTTAAAATACTTAAAATGCTAATTATAGCTTAAAATTACTAAAATAAAAAAATAAAAAAGTATATTTATATAGTATTTTTTAAACCTTTAAATATAGTTTTTTTTTTTTTTAAATATTTTAGCTAGTATATAGCTTTTATACTTAAATTAAATAAGTTTAAAATCTTAAAAAGGTTTAATTATTAAGCTATATTATTAAGTAAAAAAGTAAATATAGTTTATTATTTTATAAGTTTAATAATATATATATTATTTTAACTTAAGTATTATTTTACTATATTTATTATTACTACTTTATCTTATAACTTAATTTAATTTATTACTAACTAGTTAAGCTAGTCTCGGTTTACTAACTAGCCTTTATAGTTTTTTTTCTAAATACTAAAACCTTTATTTCTTAATTTAATTTCTTCCCCCTCTTTTCCTTCTTATTTCTTCTTCTTTACCTTATAATTACCTTTATTTCTAATAATAAAATATATATACTTTTAATTTACCTAACTAAACCTTGCTTTTTAACTTTTTAAATTATATTAAATATATAATATTACTGCTAGCTAATATAATACTATTAATAAAGGCCTGCTATTATAATAATATACCTATGCCTTTCTTTAACTAATTAGCTAGGCCTTTTATTACCTTTTTTTAATATTTAATAAATTTAATAAAGTAATTATTTTATATAATACCTTTAATTAATACTTAATAATTAAAGATAGTAAGATTAATTTATTATATTAATTATAATTTATTAATATAAGGTAGGTATTTACTTATAATTTTATAATAATAAAGTTAAAATATAAGCTTTAAATCCTTATAATATAGATATTATTAATATTAATTAATTAAGTAATTATATATTTATTAATTACTTTAATTAAATAATTATAGCTAGGTTAATTATTATTAATAATAATTATATAGTAATATATCTTAAATAATAAGAGTTATAGTTTTAGGCTTATTTTCTTATAAAGCTTTATAGTTATTATAATAGTAATAATTATATTAAGAGGTTAATAATAAAGAGAGAATTTAGTTTATTATTAAGGAAGGAAATATTTTCTTTATATTTATAGATTAAGGCTAC